ATTGATAGTAGAGGTAAAACCTACACAAATAAAACTAAATGATGTAACCTGTGTTAAACTGAGAAGCTTTCCATCATTAATTCCCCTAAACACACGTCTTTAAACAAACGTTCAGAACTTGTCTTGAAATGTAGACATGAGAATAAGTTGTACTTGTCAAACTTCAGTAGGGACTTAGGCTGAATATAAGTCAGTTGTTTGAAGATCTAGCGTGAAACTCTGAGTAACAACATGATTCAAGTTCTGTTTTAATATTTCTATTAATTAGTTAATATTTATTATTCCTGATTGTCTAATTACAGGAATTGTTGGATAAATACCTTATACCTAAAGCTAGAGAACGATTGGAAGGTGAGAAAGATGATCAGAAATGTTTTGATAGTCTGGTATTTTATTTAAAAATGAAGGGAGATTACTATCGTTATTTGGCTGAAGTTAGTCAGAGTGATGAAAAAGACAGTAAGTATTATTTCTATATCTCCCTCTCCATTTTCTCTCGGTGAGTTAGACGTTTGCTCGCTAACCTGAAGAGGGTTCAACCCCGGCATAGGTCGAGATAATACCTTCAGATTTTTCTACCCGGTTTTCACCTGTTACTCCATTCAATTCATTTCTTTGCTCGATGTCCTGGCAAAATTTACCTTAAATTTACCACTGTAAGTTTTCAAATTGAAACTTCCTCTCTGAATTCCCTAAGGTAATGACTAACAGTGACATTGAGCCCCATGAAACAGTTATGACAGTTATAAAGGGGAGGAAGAGGAGGATGTCTATTCCCTTTCTACATGAGGTTCAACAATTTTTGATATGAAGTCATTTCATTGCGTCTGCCATGGAATAAACTAAACGTGTTGCCATGATAAACTAATAATGTTATATGCCTTCTTTTTAGAAGTGGTTGAAGCTTCTAAGCAGTCTTACCAAGATGCAAAAAAAATTGCAGAAAACATGCAGACTACACATCCTATTCGATTGGGGTTGGCCCTGAATTTTTCAGTTTTCTATTATGAGATCATGAATAGTCCTGATAAGGCCTGTGAATTAGCTAAAAGTGTAAGTAACCTTTTTATTAGGAAAGTCAATATGATATATGTTGAACAAGTTTCTCGTCTTGGCCCAATCTAGTGCAGAAAATCAGAGCGTTAAAAATCAATTAGGATTCGTGTGAAAATACATCAAAATTTTGCGGACAGTAGAATTTTAAACAATATGACTTATTTGAACCTACATTCAAAATGAATATATCTCGTTAATCTCTTTATTTGTGACCTTGGCCAATGCTTTACATTATGACAAGAGTTTTTTTTAGGAATTTCTTCACTGTTAATGTTATATTTGTAGGCATTTGATGAAGCTATAACCTGTCTAGATACCCTGAATGAAGATTCGTATAAAGATAGCACATTGATCATGCAGCTGCTGAGAGACAATTTAACAGTAAGTTATCTCCCTTGGTTTATCGTCGCGATATAACGATCTAGATTGAAGACACCTGATACCACTTTTCATTATAAAATACTTATTATAATTGATATACTTCCTTGTATGAAAAGTACATAAACTGCTACCAATGTTTCGCCAATATGTTGTTTAGATTTTGTGTTTCGTTTTGTGTTTCGAATCGTTATATTGGTTTATTTATCCTCATGTGAAAAGTTCATTAGCTGCTACTAAAGTTTTGGCAATACATTGTTTGGATTTTGGATTTCATGTTACGTTTCTAATCATGCTATTTTTTTCTCTTTTCAGCTTTGGACGTCTGACAACCAGGCTGAGGAAACTGATGCTACTGAAACAGAGCAACAGTGATTGGATAATAATTAGCTTTTTATATCTCCATGGTAACATGTTGAATGACACAACTGTGTGGTCATGTGACCGAGGAGGCTCAATTTTAATTGGTTGGCTGATCATCGGACTTGTTTATTTATAAACATACAAAATATTTTACTGTTCATGCATTATTTCCTTTTTTTGGCGCCAATTTTTGTGGTTTTTGGTTTCGTTGTTATTCATTGTGGTTTGTCAATGTTACAAATTTTGAAGATTAAAATTCTGCTTTCTTATTTTTTGATATTTTGGATCTCGAC